CAGCTGGCGGGGTTAAATTAAAGGCTACAGCAGATGATGACCATTTATGGCAGTGTGGAGGGTGACGTTTTGTACGCGAGGAAAGATGCATTTGATTAGATGTCATGACAGACAGTGCCTTATGAGAAGCCAGCGGCGCAAGGGGTACAACGCTCTTAAGATCACTTTGTTTACAAGACTTGCTTTTCATAACCAATTCTTTACAAGATTTTAAAGAGAAAGTGTACTGGCCCAGAGGTCCGTATAATTTTTGGGCACACTTTTATTCTTTATTGTTATATAGTAAAAATAGATAAACAAATCCGAAAATTCTTTGTATATCAACTTTTGATGAGTTCTTCACCTCAATGGTAAAGTTATTTTTTACAGGTTGGTCTGGAGGTAATCAGCTTGAACTCGGTGTTTTGTGCGCTTCGTGAACTCTGTCTAGTAATGGAGCCTGATTTGCAGACATGTCCCAGTTGCAAAACAAGCAAATACAACAACCCACAATTACGCTTGATGGTTAACGTGTGTGGACACTCACTGTAAAAACTTTCTTTAACATTTTGTGTGACTTTTAAGATGTGAAAATTGTGTTGAAGTTCTATTTGTGAGGGGATCCGGTCTTTGTGTTCAATGCAAGACACCAATCCGGAAGACAAATTTCCGTTACCAACTCTTTGAAGATCCAACAGTGCAGAAGGAAGTGGATATCCGGAAAAAGGTTCTGGCTGAGTGGGTTTTAGTCTATATGGCTTATTCTCTAGATTCAACAAACGCGAAGAAGATTTCGAAAATGTTGAAGATTACGACAGTTATTTGGAAACCATTGAAGACATAAGTAAGTCTGCGCATGTTATATACGCTAAGTTTACAATCTTTCCAACGATGTGGATGTCGACAAAACGAAGAAATTTATCGAGCAATATAAAAAGGACAACAAAGACATTATCAAGCGCAATCGTAAAAAGCAGGTTGGCTTCTTTCAATTTTGTCGAATTCAACTTTTTCGTTTTTCGGTTGTATTTGTCTGTTATTTTGATGTTTTTTCCATGGGTATCCTCGCCAACATTACTTTAGGCCGTACTTTCTAGCATATATTTACATCGGCAAGCCTCGATTGAATCACCTAGGAATCATTGTATCTTCCTATTAATTCCTGAATTCTGCAATGGCATCCTTTATTGAATAGGCGAATTTCACAGATTTAGCTGTCACATTTTAATTTCCATTCAACTTTACTATAATTTGGTTTGGTTGTCTTCTCCACTGGCGCTATACTGAATATTATCTTCGTTACTTAAGTGCCGTGTTTACCAATCCTAGTACACTTTATGAACCTTGAAAATCGTCTAATTTGGTTTTGGGACTTTAGCCTAACTTGACCACTGTTATGGTGGTGGTTTTGCCAAATCGTGCATTTGTACCCCAGCAACCAGGATTAACCTTTACACCTCTAAAAGATATTTACTCGTTTAATGCATCAGTCGAACTGTGCCGAGTTCTACGAGCGCGAGTTGGAGCAGGAGCGTATTCTCCGCGAGCGTCGGGCTGAGGTTCAGGCTGCAGATGAGGTGGCTGATCTTCAGCGTCGTAAACGTCTTCACGCTGGAAGAACTCTTCAGGGCTTCCTCTGCGGCGCAGCCGCTGTTCCTCTCCCTGAAGAGCCCCAACCCAAGATCGAATTGCACTCTAACCCTCCAACATCTGAGCATCCTATTCCCTCCACTGTCCCACCTTCCGCGGTGCTCGAATCGAAGCATCGATTTTTGCCTCCACCTTCTGTTGCTCTCTTCCAGCGCTCTGTACCCCTTTCCGCCGCATCTAGGTGGTCAGGTGTTCCCCTTACTCCTGCTTCTTCAATGGTCGACATCTCTCAACTCCTCCCTCCTCCTCCTCTGGCAGCTTCGTCCTGGGCCACGTCAGTTGAACACCATAGTGTAGTCATTCCCACCTCCATCACTCGAAGCGGGGGGCAAACTGATACAGTGGTTCTCTCTCGTCCTCACGGTGTTAAGTCGTCCTCCTCGTTTTCATCTTCTGTAAAGGCGACCACGGGAGCGACTCGGAACTTGGATGAGTGGTTGCAACCTTATCGTCCCGAACTATGTGGTCCACATCCACCATCACCGTCCAATGGCCCTCAATGGGGGGCTTTGGAGGCGGTGTACTTGGAAGCTGTGATAGAGCCTACGACTAAGGATGTGGATGCAGCTGCCGATGCTGAGAGAGGGGACCTATTCCGAGAATCTGATAATGCTGATGAAGGGGTTGCCGGCGGATCTGCTGGGGTAGAAGACGGACATACGAGACGAGGTTTATCTCACGCTTTGCCGCGGGGCGCGTGTGGCATCCCGCCAAGTTGCTACCTGACGCGTGCTCTCCAAGAAAGTCGTTGCGGTCTATTTATATGACACTTAGATACTTCATTGCACCTGTTAAAACCTTGTTGTAATGTATAAAACTTTTGCTCTATAAGGAAATGAGTATCTTCTCCCTTGTTTGTCTGAATTAACTAACCAATCTCAGTGCCGGTTTGTTAAGCGGTAGTTGATGCATTGACAAGATAAGGTATGCGTCTTTTTCATTCTCAAGGTTCTTTCTGTTCGCCATTTGCTGCTCCAGAACCCTAGCTGTGTTCGCTGTTCTTTCAAGAAACCTTTTTTCTCTCGAACATCTGCCGCTCCACATTCCCAATTTCGCGAAACCCAGTTGAAGATGCCAGAAGAGGTAGACTATACTTTGCCGCCTGCCCTAGACCTTAAACTCGATAAGAACGCCTTTCGAAATACGGAAATCCTTTTTGCAGTCGGGGTACCCCTGGGCAAAGAGTTCAAAAAGGTTTCAGAAAAGCTTCGTGGCTACGCTACCGGTTACTTAGCTCTGCCCAGGTTCATGGATATCTAGTACGTCCATGGCTGTGATTATTCTCTCACTTATATTATGTGAGTAACATTTATTTCACTCATTTACGAACAGTACTGATTCTAATGGAATGAGACGTAAACTAATACCGATTCAAAGGATTGACGATTCCAAAGCATGGGATCAACTTCGAAACTTCAATGTAGATGTTCCATCATCTCCAAACGAGGATATCTCATACTTGGAAACACATCCAAATGCTCTTCTTGTGGAGAACTGTCCATCAAGTGAACGGAGCGATGGGTACACTTTGCCTTCCAAACCTTGTGCATTTCGCATGCCCCTGGTGTACGAAAATTACCCTCTTGTTCGAGCACTTAGAGTCGTGCTGCCATCAGACATGGAGGCCATAACTGGATTTACGTTGGTTGGTCATGTGGCACACTTTAACCTTAAACCGGCTGCTCTTCCCTACCGAAAACTCATTGGTAAGAACGTAGCTGAGATACAGTGGTAAAATCATTGTAGGTCAAATTGCTCTAGACAAACTGCCTCTGGTGCGCACCGTTGTAAACAAAGCAGCGAAGATCGACGCCCAATTTCGGACTTTTACCGTGGATTTGATGGCTGGGGAAGAGAATTATCTGACTGAGGTGAAAGAAAATGGTGTTACTTACCAACTGGATTTCTCAAAAGTCTACTGGAATTCACGCCTTGGTAATTGGTTCTTAAGGATTTTCTCACCCCTTTAGGAACTGAGCATTGCAAAATCATTGAGGAAATAAAGAGCGTAGCTAAGTCTAGTGCAACATCTGTGGTCGTCTTTGATGTATTTGCGGGCGTTGGACCGTTTTCCATACCTCTTGCTCGTATCGGAAACTGTCAAGTTTTTGCAAATGACCTTAATCCTGACTCCTTTCATTTTCTGAAGGAGAATGTGAGTCGAAACAGTTCCAGAAAGCGTCCTCTCACAACAAAACAAATCAAATGCTTTAATTTGGATGGCCGGGACTTCATTCGAGAGGTTGCTATTCCCTCCTTTTCCTAACCTTATTTCGATTATCCTTTTTTTTCTCACTAAATAAGCTCGCATTTCTTTGGGTCATGATTTGTTGATTGGCTACCGTTTACATTCCACTGTGATCGGCAGTTTACTAATCAATAGGGCTAAGGAATTACAAAATCGCCTTTCTTATGTGAACTCTTATCGAAGTTTTAACTGTTTAATCATTTAAGGCTTTATTTCCCTTACAGATTGTCCTTCCATACTACAAAACGGTCTCGCCATCTGACTCTACCGAGTTTTTCATGCTCCTGAATCTTCCGGAACTGGCAATCGAATTTTTAGACGTCTTCAAAGGCCTTAAATGCGAATGTCCTACTCACCCAATCCACATTAGATGTTACTGTTTTGTTCGTCATCATCTTGGAGGTGACACCTCGAAAACTTCGAAACAGGTAGAAGCAGATATAGATGCTCGTCGAAGAGTCTGTGAAGCTTTAGGTGTTGAACTTGCTGCAGTTTCTACGGATGATCATGAAAAGTTTTCTGGCATTCATTTGACTGATTGGAAAGTCCGATTTGTACGGAACACGGCACCACTTAAAGATATGTATTGTATACAATTTGACCTTCATCTTTGCACGCCCCATGCTTTAGCTAAGCGATCCAGAACTAACTAGTAAACCTGTGCCGCATTTTTTGTACTTCTGCACTTTTCCATGTGGTGGATGTTGAATATTGTGTGCTGGTGTCATTGTCATCCTTCTATCATTTCTGTTCATACACACTTGCTGCTCTTTATCTTGGAGCAATGTAATTTCCCTTTGTAACGTAGAGCTTCATTATTGTCCTTTTTCCAGCGAACCGGAGGCCATTTATTGGTCAAATTCAAAAGGGGAATCCTTTTTCTCCTTTATCCCGATGATGGTAGCCCAATAGCGGTAGTGTCAGAGACAGTCAAGATGGAATCGATTCGAGAAATAACGAAAACAGGCGAAACCACTAAATTAGAATGATTAATGAGACAGGATTACGCGTTTGTGTGCGTGTGTCTCTGTGTTTCTAGTCAAATTAAGCTTGATTAATTTAATTGCTCGTCACAGCGATATGCGCGGGAATTGAATTAGCCTGCAACAAAAGCTGCACCAGGCTGTTTCCTTCCTTTTCCTTTAGGCGGGTAGGTCGTGCGGATCTCGCAAGTTCTCACAAAATATCGTGCATTTTGTGGTGGCAAGAGTGGACACTATATTTGGTCCTTCTGTTGGGAAAATTCGATAGACGTCTATGAAAATCATTAGTAGTAAATAAGTTTGAAGGAAAATGAAAAGAAAAGTAGGCTTAGCGAAGACATGCAAAAGAGTCTGACAGCGGATGGGCAAACCAACTGGATCCCTATCGGAGTAAGGGTCATTGGCGCGAGGTTCAATTCATCAGTGCCTGAAAGTAAAGTGTTGAGCAAATACTTTTCGCAAGTTTACAGTACAAAGTTTTGTAAGGAGTGACTACCATTTGGCTGGAATTGCATCTGTTGCAGCAAAGGCAGAGGCACGGTCCTGTGAGTCTAATTTTTTGAAAACCGAAAAGATAGGCAGTGGTTACATGAATGCCATTTTAGTCACACTACTTCATTATTACAACGATAGAGAATGAACATTTTAAATTCAGCATAAATAGGCGCTCAATGCAGTGGTCTCACTTATGGCAAGTAAATCGACGAGGGATTTGAGCAGTTCCTGGCGAGAGGAACCTCTTGGCCACGTAGACTTCTTCCTCAGATGATGACCTTTCAATAAAATAAAAAAATAGCATTCATTTGGCAACGCTCCCACTCACTAGCAAATGGGAAAACCACAACCTACGAAGAACTGCTCGAACTGCTTGAAGTGCTAGAGGACCTAGTTCTCCTCTTCGACTTCTTACCGGGGTCGATTACTGAAAGTAAATTGAAGAATAATGGATGATAAGTGAAAGTAATCAAAAAATGTTATGAATGATATGCTTAGTTAAGCAAACCCTCAACCTCTGCGGTGTTAAAACTAGGGGAAACTAAACTGCATTTCAAATTAACGGCAGTATCGTTTCTTTCTGATAAGGTAGGCATTTAAAGCAATTCTTCATGCAATGAGTTCGTGCATGCAGAATGACTTTCATTACTAACACCTTTCTTAATTGGCACGCCATGTGTTCCCAACACGTCCTTGTGGCAAAACCAAGACACCTCTTTCCCTATCCTAAATTTATAGGTAATTAACACAAAGGAGCGAGTTACTCCTTCACCCGTAAGTTTGCGGACAGTTTGAAAATTAAAAAAAAGGATTTCCTTTGACCGCATGAAGTTGGTTACTAGATCAGAAGCTTAGAAATCAGACAAAAGGTTTCAACGCACAGACATAGAAGTCGTCTCCGTCGCTTAGGTCTTCCGGTCCAAGAACTTTCAGATACTTGTGATCGCTTGTCTCGATAATCAGGTCCCCTTAATTAAAGTGGCAAAGAAGGTTTTCATTAGAAATTTCTGAACATTTCTTAAAAGCTAACAAAATGTAAATGGACTCGCCCTACCGTCTTGGATTTCGTTCTTGGACTTGATTGGGGAGACACGGTAGGTGCACTGCAATTGTGTGAAATCGATTTACAAGTTTTGCAAAAAATGGGCACTACTTTCAAACCCTGAGACGTCTCAACGGAAGGTAGGCCCTATGCCTATTTTCCGTTAATCCACACGCAAGGGAGAGTTATCACAACCGAC